GTGGGAGAATCGGTGTGACAGAGATGCAACGAACGAGTGAGCGAGAGTGAGAGAGAACGAGAGGGAGAGAAAGAGAGAGCGCGAGAGACGCGACGCGCGAGAGGAAAACAGAGAGAAAGAGAAACTGTGCGAGTGTGAGTGCGAGAGAGGGGAAACGAGAAGGACGAAACGCGCAGGATGGCGCGAGGGAGTAGAGGGTGTCGCGGAGCGAGGGAAGGGAGGAGTGCGTGACGAGGAGGGTGAGAAGGTGGGGGCTATAAGGAGAGGGTGAAGGGTGTAGTGGGGACTATTGGGTAGGCGGCGGTGGTAGGATTGCGGGAGGTTGTGCGCGGCTCGACTTCGGTGGTTCGGTTGAACGAGGGCGCGCAAACGGGCGGGTGTCGCGAGCGTTGCAAAGCGGTGAAGGGTACCACGAACGGAAAGCACGGTCGTGGCGCTAGGCGGGCGTAGGCGAGGTTCCGTGACGGCCGTTCGGTGGCGCATCAGGAATTCCCAGCACGGCAGGCACCGGGTTGGTCAGCTACGTGGTGTTCGTGCGCCTCTCTCTCTATCGGTGTGTATATGCGCGATTTGCCCCGAGTCCGCGCCTCGACTTGATGACATGGCGTCCTAGCGCTGCACGGACGAAGTCGCACGTCCTCGGTGGAGAGGCTCTCACCCCGTCGTCGAATCAGCCGCATCCCAGGATGCCAAGGTAAGTCGACGTGGTGCATAGTGTAAATATTTCGACGTATCGTGTATTAAATAGAATCGAGCTGTTATGGGACTCGGGTGTCATCGGGAAAAACCGGGCGGTGTCGATAAGCTGAAAAATGTTCCGTGCGCCTCGAGCTCGTTTCGTCAAACCAGGTAGGGTCGTTGCCATCGTGCCTACCCTACGAATCGATATTACCAGTGCGGAGAAGAGGACGCTTCTTTCTCTCTCACACTTTCTCACCGCTTTTTCCCTCTTTATTTCTGCACCTATCTTTCACCTCTCGCTCTCTCACTCTCTCACTCTATTCGCCCCTCGTTCCCTTAGTTTCACAATTCGTGTCGTGTGTTCGTCATCATCACCACCACCACCACCACTACCACCACCAACACCACCACCACCACCATCACCACCACCACCACCACCGTCATCGTCGTCATCGTCATCATCGTCATCATCATCGTCATCATCGTCATCGCTGTTGCCGTTGTCGCCGTCATCGTCATCATCATCATCATCATCATCATCATCGTCGACGTCGTCGTGTCGTCGTCGTCATCGTCATTCTAGTTGCTGTGTGGTGTACATTCGAATCAAGAGTGTTTGCTAGTGCTTCGTATGTTTATGCATTCACGGTTATGTATGTGTGCGTGTCTGTGTGCGTGTGCGTTCACGCCACGGTGCGATATTGTGTGTGTATACGTAGGAAGGGTTAACACGGGTAGAGTAACAGAGAAAGGAAACGTTCGCGGGGTAAAAAGAGAGAGGTTAGTTTCACAGTTTCTTGGAAAAACATGGAGAAAAAGTGAAGCACGCGTAAGGAGGAGGATACTACGTGGCTTATCGACGCATCGACGACAGCGTGCCTCTCGACGTGGATTTTCGCTTGGCGAGAGAGGGTTGCGTAAATCTTCTCTCCTTCCTCCTTCCCTCGTCTCATCGAATCACTCTGTCTTCCTCGTGTACTTCGTCTCTCTCTTCCCCCTCTCTGTCTTTTTCTCTCTCGAACGTGTGTCGCGGTCGGGTATGGCGCTGCCCATAGGCGCCGATACGCCCCGGGGTGTCGAGGCTGACTCGACTCGAGTCGAGTCGTTCGTTCGTCCATCCGCCGACCATCCTCCCCCTTGTTGTGTTCATTGAGCCGCTTGTTCCCTAGTATGCCTCTGCAGTTGCTTCCCTCGCGAGGGAGCGTTATTGTTACTGTCGATCGTGTTCACTTCCTCCTCGTGATTTTCCCCCGTCTATATCGTATTTTCTTATTTGGCTAATATAGCCTTCGACTCGTATTGCAATCGTTACCACGTACCATAACAGGTGAGTTGTGTACACATACCTTACTCGTCTCTGCAAACGCGCGAGATCGGATCAGTGCCACAGCCTCGAGTTCGAGCACGTGTCAGAACGTGCCTTTCGGTCGGCAGTGTCACCACGCGCGCGTTAATTAATCTTCGTTTCTGTATTGTAGTGAAAAATTATGTAACGTGTGCTACATCGGGGTGCATAAAAAAATAGAAAGGACTAAGAAAACGGTGCTCGGTTGTGCAAAATGTTTGTAATCGATAAAAGAAGGTCTTGTGATTGAGCAAGTTTGTGGATGAAAGTGGAGTAGATGGTGACACACACGTATATCGGCGTATTACAGGTGCGTTGTGCATAATTGTGATATATTTATAACCTGCACCTCCCACATTTACCTTCGCATTTTCCTCTATATTGTTTCCATTTTTGGCAAAGTTACGTAAAAAATCGTCGAGATTCGTAAAAAAAGGCTTCGTAAAAAATTACCATGTTCGAACCGTTATATCGCTTCCAGTGAACATACTTATTTTCTTATCTTCATAATTACGAGTGAAAAAAATTTATATTCATCGCATTTCCCTTAAACTCGTTACTCTCTTTTTTCTTGCTTTTTTTTTAAGTGTGATATTTAACATTGTTCGGAGAATGTTTAAATTCGTGCATAAATTTTTGTAAAAGCTTCGAGTTTTCTGTCTACGTCGTATAAGAATTCAAAGTGCACATTTACCGTTAGCCGTCGAGCCTAGTTATCTCAAACAGGGATTCGTTGTTATCTTTGAGATATAGACATACTTGAACAAAGATTGTACTTAGCTTACAAAATTCTATGTCGTATAATTTTTCGGTAGCTTTCGCTCGTAGTATGGACGAAATGTATAATTCATCATAGTGTACTACATGTGCCCACAAATATCTGGTCATCTTTCAAATATTATATATCTCGTGATAGAGTATAGTTGTAGAGATTTCTGGATACGTCATCTCAAAAAGTTTGACGAAAAAAAGACACGTTCATCTATTGACCTCCCGCCAAGTGAAATAACCTAACAACCACGTGGTTTGGACACGTGGTGTCTTTGCTGGTCTATATTACTCCATTTTGAATAGTGCCGTGGTTTCCTGTCCGCGCATATATACGCGTCGAGTTAACTTTGAACAGTCTTCTTGCAATATTCAATTAAGAATCTTTCTTCTCTTAAAAACACTCCGCGATGATTATCACGGAAAATACCACTTTAAATACACACGTCCATTGTTCGTACATTCTTTCAAATATATTTACCTCTCGTTATCGAGATAAAGAATTATGTATATCGACAACATTTCGCGATTCGATATTTTTTGGGATCCGATAACCGATTTATTCTGAATATTTATTCGAGGAAGGATTTGTGAATTTTTCCAAAGCCGTATTGTGAATCACGGAAACATTCGAAGAGAAATGATATAACCTGTACACCAGCGACAAGTGCTGCCCTGTGCACTGAAGCTCGACATATTCGTACCCACGTGTGTTTCGATGAGAACTTACATGGGACTTCCTGCGGGTTCCTGATTAAAGTAGCGTGACGATTTTATCATGGTACCCGCGAGGGGTTGAAGCGTCGATTATAGTGGTGATGATGGTGGCTTTATGCACGCTATAGGGAGGGTTCCGCTAAATAGCTGCTCGCTTAGGGACTGTCTTTTGTGACGTTGATAATTTGCTAATTTATTAG